ATAGTTTGTGATAATTTCTGTCTTAAGATACTAATATTCTTATACTCAAATGGCAATCCTCAAATGTCGGTCCTCAAAAGTCGGTCCCCAAATGTCGGTCACCAATCCTCAAATCGATCCTCAAATGTCGGTCCGCAAAAGTCCGTCCCCAAGTGTCGCACTACGTTTCTTTCATGCTTGTTCCTATTTTTATTCATCGGCCCAATATTCCCCTCATATTTGTATTTTAAATTTAAATAAATATTTTCGGATCAAGTTTATATTTTTATTGTGGAATGGGTAAGAAATTGTAACCCGCTCATCATACAATGAAAATGAAAAAAAAAGAAAAAAGGAGCAAAATAAGTACATACCTTGATCATTACCTAAAAATTTTTTAAATTTATTAAATCAATTTTAACAGAAACATACAAGTAGTTTCTTTTCATTTACTTCAAATTCTTTAGATAATTCAGTAATATCATATTTAGTATATGGGAGACCATAAACAAATTTGTCATATTTAATTTTCTAAAATTTATTTTAATTTTAAATAAATATTAAAATTGGAATTAATAAACAAACATATTTTGTCAATTCAAACAGATTTTCACCTGTTAATAAATTTATTTAAAATAACTATGATAATGCATATTGTCCCTATAATTTTATAATTAAATTGGGGAGTATTTATTGCCTATACAGCTCTCCAAACATTGACGAGCCAACCATGTCTAGCCAATAACTAAATTAAGGTGTAAAAGTATTTGATGCGCCAACTAAAAAGACCATGACGAAAAGCCGAGAGGCATGTCCTTGTATATACATATTATTGAGTCTACTAGATAATGAAATTCGACAACTATATTTGTTAAAAAAAGATTTTATAATAAAATTACCTTCCAATTTTATTTTTCCCTTTAAATTTTCAATTTGTTTTTTAATTTTAATTTTTTCTTCTTCATTCTCCATTATTTTAATATATTTTTCCAATAATTCAATTTTATATGAATTTAAATTTATTAAAGTCCAATAATTTTTTTCCAATTTTTCTTTGTAAATTTTTATTTTTTCTTTTGGTGATACTCTTTTTATATAATTTATATGCCCTTTATCTTCTAAAGCACTGATTTCAGACACGGATTTATTTAACTTTCTTTCAATTATCTTAAATTGTTTTTTAAAAATTACAGTAATTTCGAACTTCACCCTCTAGAGTTTTCTACAAGGATGCAAAATGGTCAAAAAAGGTCTTCTTATTCATTAAATCGGGGGATATCAGCGGATTTGTAGAATTAAGGAGGAATCAGAAGATTCCTCCTTGGATCTACTTGGCATAGTCCATAAACCTACCCAAACCTTGAAGCAAAGAAAAATCTAAATTAATGTTTATACCCACAAATGGGCGCTAAATTGAATTTGGGCTGAATTATAATTTGGACGGTAACCAATATGTTGGGGATATTTTCTATATTAAAACTTTTTACAAAATAATTTTTATAAAAATATTAAATTTAAAAATTAAAGCATTATTAAAGTATATTACTTGTTTTAGTATTGGACTAATTAATTCATCGACAATGCCATTTTTAGTAATTTCTATTTCTGGGGAATAATTTAAATCTTTTCTATATACAGAATAATAATTAATATTATTTTCTGTTTTTAAATATTTTCCAATTAAATTTTTAAAAGAAAAACGTTCTTCTGGCTTTTTATTTTTTAAATAATTATATTCTCTTTTTTCTAACCAATCTGGATTAATTTTTACGTTGATTGTTTGACCTTTTGTAAACTTGATATAATTTTCCAAATAAATAAATAAAATAAAGAATATATAAATAATATTCATTTTTATTTAAATTAATTGTGCTGAAAAAATTTCCAAGTAATAAGCTATTCTTACAAAGGGGGCATCAGTTGAACAGATTTACCAAACAGAGGGAATTTAGATTAGACGTATTGTATAATCTCGGAAATCATTATATCATGCATTTTGGAGGTCGAAAAATTGAAAATTATATAAAGGAACATAACTAGAAGATAGGATACACCCTGTATCGCCACCCCCCTTGGATCAACTAACATTCGCCACACCTTGTGGTAACTTGTGGCGTATCAATTTAAGGATGTTTCTTTTACTATCCGGCTTCCCTATAAGATAAACTTAATAAACATAAATTAAAGATTTAGTAGGAGACATCCATTATTTAAACTACACCTTGTTATATTAAACCACAAGAGTTTATCTTGTAATGGCGTCTGATTGTATTAAATTTTAACTAAATAAAATTGATTATTTAAAATAAATAAAAAAATATAGCAAAAGCGCCCTTTCCTTTAAAGCGCCCTTTCCTGTAAAATTCTCTCACTATATTTTGCACTTAAACATACGACTAGAGATGTTTCTTTCGAAATTTCGATCCTTTACCTTCGATTTTTGATTTTCGAAGATTTTTAATTTCAAAACAACTCTAAATACAATTATTCTCTTTATAATAATTTCCAAAATTGTATTTTGGAAATTTATTTTGATTTTTTTGGACTAACTCAAAACCTAATAATAGGTTATATGCCACTAATGGATAAAAATCATCAAGAAAAGTTGAAAAGTTTACTAAAAAAGGATGAATATTTATTTCAAAAGACAGTGGCGCAACCATATAAGACACTTTGCTGGATAATATTTTGGAAAACAATATTTGGAAATTATTATAAAAAGGATAGTCGTATTTAGAGTTGTTTCGAAATTAAAAATCTTCGAAAATCGAAAATCGACGGTCGGGGATCGAAATTTTGAAAGAAAACATCTCTAGTCGTATGTCTAAGTGCAAAATATAGAGAGAGAATTTTACAGGAAAGGGCGCTTTAAAGGAAAGGGCGCTTTAAAGGAATTTATTTTAAATAATCAATTTTATTTAGTTAAAATTTAATAAAATCAGCTATCATTATAAGATAAACTCTTGGGGTTTAATATATCAAGGTGTAGTTTAAATAATGGATGTCTCCTAATCACTCCTTAATGATGTTTATTGAGTTATAGGGAGGCCTGATAGTAAAAGACACAAGTTACCACTAGGTTTGAAGACTGTCGATACTGGGTGGGGGTCCGAGATTATACAGTATGTCCGTTAAACCACAAAACGATACCCCCTATGAAGAACAGCTTATTACTAGATAATTTTTTCAGCACAAGTAATTTAAATAAAAATGAATATTATTTATATATTCTTTATTTTATTTATAATTTATTTGGAAAATTATAACATTTTGGCAAACGATGAAAACATCAACGTAAAAATTAATTCTGATTGGATAGAAAAGAGAGAATATAATTATTTAAAAAATAAAAAGCCAGAGGAACGTTTTTATTTCAAAAATTTAATTGCCGAATATTTAAAAACAGAAAATAATATAAATTATTATTCAGTATTTAGAAAAGTTACGCATTATTCACCAGAAATACAAATTTCTAAAAATGGCATTGTCGATGAATTAATTAATTCATCACTAAAACTAGTAATATAACATAATAATCTTTTAATTTTTTGATATCCCTTTTGCCCCTCCCTCGAAAGAGTAAGGAAAATGGGTTCAAGTTCAGAATTGCCTTAATTTTGAAATATTAAAAGACAATTTTGAAATATTAAAAGACAATCTTTTAATTTTTTGATATCCCTTTTGCTCCTCCCTTGATATTCTCCAATCGCTCTGAGAAATCTGGTAGTAAGGAAAAAGATTAAGGAAAATGGGTTCAAGTTAATTTTGAAATATTAAAGACAATTTAAGGTAATTAAAAGAAAGTTAAATAAGTCTGGAAGTGAAATCAGCATCTTAGAAGATAATGAGCAAATAAATTATAGTATAGGAATAAAATCCAAAATTTCGACAAAAGAAAAAATAAAAATTTATAAAGATGAATTGAAAAACAATTATTGGACATTAATTAATTTAAATGCATATAAAATTGTATTATTGGAAAAAAATATTAAAATAACGGAGAATGAAGACGAAAAATTGGAAATTAAAAAACAAATTGAAAATTTAAAGGGAAAAATAAAATTGGAAGGTAATTTGAATGTTGTGTGACTTAAGAGGGTTTTTGGGCGGACCGATTTGGTCGAATGAGGTGTCATTCGAAAAATTCGAACGAGCGGAGGAAAAAGTATGTCCGACTCTCAGTGACCAAGTCGAATGACACCCCTTTTGAACAAATTGGTCCAGTCAAAAAATTCCTATAAGACACGATACCCGGTAATTTTATGATAAAAATTTGTAATAAAAATATATGTCGAACTAACTATCTTGTACACCCAGTACTAGTTGCCGGGGTTATTTTTTAAAATTAGTTTGGTCACTGGTTGGAAAGCTGTATTGGCAATACGCCCAGTTTAATTATAGTGAGATTATGATTTATCAATTTAGTCTAAATAAATTTAAAAATTTATAGGTGGAGAGCTAATTGAATTAACAAAATATGTTTGTTTATTAATTAGTATATTTATTTAAAATTAAAAAAATTATAGGAAATTAAATTAGATAAATTAATTTTTGTAATCCCACATACTAACTATGATATTACTGAATTATCTAAAGAATTTGAACTTAGAGAAGAGCAAATACGTGTCTGTTTTTGTTAAAAATTGATTTAATAAATTTTCAAAATAATTTTTAGAAAATTATCAAAGTATGTACATAATCATCTAAATATCAAGGATCTATCCAACAAAAAAATTCCTGATTTTAGGGAAAAACGTCGGGAATTTCCGACTTTCTGGAATCGGGTCGGCTAGATTCGTGCTACAAACAATTCCCAGTTCTTACGGGGAACAGGGAATTCGAACCGTGGGGACGTGGAACGGGGGGGGGGGGCTCTGGGGGAGACTCCCCCCGTCACCGGGGAATCCCTTCCCTGCGGACGGGGATCGGACCATAATTAAAAACAATGGCGCCTCAATATTACAATCCCCGTTAATTCGTACCTTCCAAAATTTGTAATAAGTCTTTCGGGTTTCATATTATCAAGATTCCTCTGTATCCGTTATATTTTATTAAACAAAAGGACAAGAAGTACATGTACAAGAAAAATGGCATAAAATTTAAAACTATCAAAACAACTTTCAATAAAATAAAAGAAATAGACCCAGCAAGAAATTCAGGTTGTACATTTAACTACAATCTAACTCCATTATCCTCTGAACTTAGGTTTAGATATAGTATCCGGATATCAGTTCCTCAACTACAGACCTTTGAGCTTTCAGCCCAAAGGTCTCTACCACGTAAGGCTAGCGAATCTTGGGAAATCTCGGATATACGGACTGCGGCGCAGAAAACTTATGTAAAGTGTACATACATAAATAGATTAATTTCAGTTAAAATGTTTGAAGTGTATTTGAACGAAAAACCAGTAATTTTGACTGGAGTAGAATTAAAAAGAATTGCAAAATATAAAAAACAACAAATATATAATGCTATTAGTGTAATCGAAAAATATTATCTTGATTTTAACTCAAACAAATTTTATTTTGATACGAATGTGATTAAATTTAAAAAAATAATATTAAGAAATAATAATGGAAAAAGATTTGTAATTATTGAAATTAATTATTTGGAAGATATTAAATTATGTAAATTAACACATAAAATTGAGATTGAGGAAGAAGAGTTTATTAAAATGATTGAAGAAGGTGATAATGATTTTGAAGTTAAATTGGAAGAAGTTGAAGTGGAATGATTGAGAACTATTTTAAAATCATTGAATCAATTTAATCCATTTATTAGACCTTTTACCTTTTAGCTATTCACTTTGTGCTTTTTACATCATTTTTCATTCTTTAAAAAGACTACTATTCCCATTTCTCAATGTTAATCTGATTTATTATCTTTAATTTTCTTTTCCTATTAAATCCAATTTGCATTGCTTTTCAATCGTCTTTACTTATTGTTTGCAAACATTAATACAAACTAACTAATTTACTTTTAACTTCGACTTTGTTATATTTTACTTTTACTAAAAGAACTTTTAATTTAGATTGCTGATAAAAATTAAACTTTCCTAAATTACGCGTGGCACACATGATTTATTTTTTTGCTTGCCACGACATACAGTCGCGGACAATAGTTTGGACTATAGTTGGACAAAACGATATTGGTATCGGCCAAACCGAGACCGAGATTAACCGATACTCAAGAACCCGATACCAAACCGATACCATCATTTTACCGAGAAGATACCGAGAAACGATACTGAACGAGATCCACAAAAATTCTTATTCTATGTCAAAAAATACGTGTAAAAGTAATTTATTCATTATTTTCATCATATAAATCATTAGATAAATATTCTTCATCATCTGGATCCGATTCGATTGATGGATACAATAGTAGGATTTATAGGTAAAAGGATTATACACTGTTCAAAAGTATATTACATTCGATTACATTCGATATCCCACCGCCTTACATTCGATATCCCTCCAAATCCATTGATATCCCCATAAACACCCAAATCCCTCCAAATAACCTAGTATTGTATTTAAGCCTTTTAATTTTATTAAATTACTTGGACTCAGTTGAGCTAGATAAAAGAGTCGTGCGAACTCAATCGTGAAGGCTTAGATAAATGCTCGGATTTTGTAAGGCTAATAAAGAAGGATTCACTCTTTTCAGCGCCGCAGGCGAAAATTTTTTGAAATTCAGAAGGCCAAAGGTCAAAAATTCTCAGTTTTATTAAAAATACAAGAAAATTGGGGTCTTTGAGTCAGTATCGTTTCTCGCCGAGAAATGGACCGGGAATATCGGTATCGGTTTCGAGACCGAGAATGAAAAAACCGAGACCGATATTGGAAAAAGGCCGAGAATCTCGGTATCGGTCTCGGTATCGGTAGTAGTTAGTCCCCCGCCCCCGTCGTCAGGGGCAGAGGGGTCCGCAAAATTAATCCTTAATTAATTCCATGTAATTACATCAATAATTAGGACCATCCTAAAGGTTTAGGAACATCTCATACCATCCCAAGGGGTCTTATCAAAGATAACTGATATAAGAAAAGGTAATTAATCCCTAATTAATTCCATGTAATTAACCAATTAATTAACCCTAACCTAAAGGTTTAGGGACATCCAATACCACCCCAAAGGGTCTTATCAATGATAACTGATAAAGAAAAGGTTCCGTGAAATTGCCCTTATTTCCATGTAATTAGTCCCTAATTAAAAGCATGTAATTAGTACACTAATTAGGGATATCCGGTACCGAACCTTTCAAACCAAAAGGTTTAGGTCCCTTTCCCCCAAAAATTTTTAAAATTTATTTTTCCCTTTTCCTTTTTCCCAAACTTTTAAAAAATTTCTTTTAATTTTCTTTTGTATTTTTTCGCGCAGCATGCGTTCATTTCTTTTGAATTTTTAAAGATTTTATGGGTCATTTTTGACCTAGAAAACTTTTCCTTTCTTTAGATTTTAAAAAATTTCTTTTAATTTTTCTTTTGTATTTTTGTTCGCGCAGCGTGCTGTGTTCATTTTTTTACTTTAAAATTTCTTTTGAAATTTCTGGGTCAGCTTAAAACTTTGACTTTTTCCTTCGAATTTTTTAAAATTTTCTTTTGAATTTTTTAAAGTTCTGGGTCATCTTAAAAAATTTCCCTTTTCTTAAAAAATTTCAACTTTCTTTTCAATTCCGGTCAGCCTGACCTAAAAACTTGCTTCTTTTGTTAACAAAAGAAAAGAAAAATTGTAATAAAAATTTTTGAATGGAAAAAAATAAAAGAATAAATATTGAAAATAAAAAGAATAGGGAAAAATAAAAAGGTGAAGTAATAAAAATTGAGAATAAATAGAGATAAAAATAGGGAGAAATATTAAAATATTGTGCTGATTTCCTTCGTCTGCTCCAATCTATCACCAACGCCTACATTGCTGTCTACTTGTTTTATCTCTTGCTTTTTAACTCGGTACTACAACATCCCTCTTAAATAAAATTTTATAAAATTTCCAAAAATTAGGTCAATTTTTCAAGGTTATTATTAAAAATTTTAACCTAGATTAAAAATTTCTTTAAAAATCCAGCTGTGCTTTATCTTGAAAATCATTTGAATAGGTGGAGCTAGAACGGAAGTATAAAAAGAAATTGACTTAATCTGAAAAATCATTCTACTGTTCAACACCAGCTTCTTCGAGACAAAACAACCTTTCATTTTTCAAACTTTTTTTTTTAAATGTTTCCTCCACCCTCCAAAAAATTTAAGAATTTTTCAATTTCCAATATACTAGGTTCCGAAACCAATAATCCCTATGTAAAAAAGCTTTGTCATGAGACCAAGTTTAATCGTAAATTTAATTCGTCTAAGGTCTCATCTAAGTTCCTTATTTCTAACCTGCCCAACGATCCTGAATCCCTTTTAGCTGAGATTTTCCAAAGTACAATTGACGAAGCTCTTGAAGAGAGTCGTCAATGGGGGGTTGAACCTGAGCAACTAGGGTGTATAATATCGAGTCAGAATCTCGATTCTGACGTTTGGATTCCGGTTCGGGAAATCACACCCAACACGATTGATTCAATCCTGAATCAATTCCTAAAGGTCGCCCAGAGTAAAAAACAAGATAATGGTATGTTATGGGGCGCACCTTTTCTTGTCTCGGTATCCACTATTCAACGAAGTGACAACCCCCGTCGAGTACATGGCCGTGGAAGAAATTCATCATCAAAACAACTTAAAATTAATGACAATGCTCTCATCAAAATTCGCAACAACGACAACTATTGCTTGTTCTACTCTCTTGTTGCCACCTTCATTTATGCAACATGTTTATGGCCCAGATGGAAATTTTACGACTACATGCGCAGTCGACGAGGGATGACTAATCAATTCAAGAAGGACACAATGGAACTAATGCAAAGTGTTGGTGCACCTTTAAACCTGGACACCTATGATGCGGAAGAATGGATTCCCTCTGTGGTTGAATATTGGAATTTACTTAATAAAGGATGGTTTAAAGTTTTTATATTCGGGGACTTAGGGGAAAAACCAATTTATAAATATGGTCCCAATAATTTTGATACACCCATAATTTTGTTTTATAATAAGGAACACTTTGACGGGGTCCGTAGGGCAAGCGATCTTTTTGGACAACCCTATTGCTTATCCTGTGAAACTGTTTATGATAAGAAAACTAACCATGCAATCTCGTGTAAATCTAGATGCCCTAACTGTTCAAGGGTTGGACCAGGGTTTCCTTGTAAAGATTTAAATGATTTCTTTGAACATTGTGATGGGTGTGGGAAAGACTTTAAGAATAAAAACTGTTACACCCACCATATCACCTCGAATTTCTGTAGTTCCTCCAAAAAATGTGAAAAATGCGGGGTAATCTGGGATGTTAAAGTAAATAATAGGAATGGTAGGGAGGGTCACGTTTGCTCCGAACGCTATTGCACAACGTGCGGTAGCTACCACGATCCCAAACGTGGGTGTTACATCAAACCCCTTGTCATTAAACCCACAAAAGCGTACCGAATTGTCGCTTTTGACTTTGAAACCATGCAATACCGGGAAGGGGAAAAGGGTAAAATGCACGATGTTAACTTTATAGGGGTAAAAGTAAATTGTCCCGAGTGTATCAATAATGGACCCGACCCTGAATGTAGTGTTTGTGGAGAAGATAGAACGATAACCTTTTCCACGAGACCTTTCCAAAACACACCCGTTGACATTCAAAATGTCACAGAGAATCCCTTAGAAGAATTTGTATCATGGATTATCGATTCTTCCGTGACAGACACGGTTGCCTTCTCACACTTTGGGGGTAGATTTGATATGGTATTAGTTTTTAAGGAATTATTTCTTAGAGGGCTGACCCCAGACATGATTAAAAAAGGTAATAAGCTATATGAAATGAAGGTAAAGGTCGGTAAAAAGAATTGGGTCATTTTTAGGGACACGTTTAATTTAATGCCCATGTCCCTTGCTTCCTTGGTCCCTGCCTTTGCACTTAGTGTAGAGGACAAACCTTTCTTTCCACACTTGGTAAATAGACCGGAAAATTACGGTAAGGAAATTTTCCCGGTCAAGGATGACTACTTGGCTGATGGAATGATGCCCGAGAAGCGAGCACAATTTGATAAATGGTATGAAGAACATAAGAATGAACCATTCAACCTGGATGAATCTTTGGCATCATATTGTACCAACGACGTGGAAATTCTAATGGCTGCACTGGTTGCTTTTCGACGCGAATTCTTGGAGGTTTCAAATGGATTGGACGTGCTGAGGGAAGCAATGACAATCGCCAGCGCATGCATGAAACACTTTAGAACAAATCATCTACAAGCTCAACACCTTGGCATTGTTCCAGAGAAGGGCTACGACAATGCTGACAACCAGAGTTTGCTTGCTCTCCGATTCCTTTCCTGGTATGCTGAGGAACACAATGTCAACATACGTAATGCTTATTCTAAAGAAGGGGAAAAGAGGTTTGGGAATTATAGGGTAGATGGGTGGGTAGAAGAAAAGAAATTGGTTATCGAGGTCAATGGGTGTTGTTGGCATGGGTGTAAAAAATGTTTTCCCGATGATGAAATAAGGCTTCCCAATGGGATTTCTGCGGGTATTCAAAGGGAAAGGGATGAAAAACGTTTGGAATTTATTGAGAGTTTTGGAGTAGAAGTGGAAGTTTATTGGGAGTGTGACATAAGGGGGATGCTTTCAAGGGATAGGGTTATGAAGTTAAAGTTCAAGAATTACTTGGATAATGGACCGATCGATATTCGATCGGCCTTCTTTGGGGGGAGAACCGGGCCACTCAAACTATTCCAAAAAACGGGGGAGGGACAAAAAATTTCCTATTATGACGTGACCTCCCTGTACCCCTTCATCAATATGACAACGCGCTACCCAATTGGTCACCCTGAAGTGCATATTTTAAACAACGATGTCAAATGGACTCAACCATCAGACAACATTTATGAATTGGCCCTTCTGAAGGTTTTTGTGATACCTCCACGCAGCATCGACATAACAGTGTTACCTATGAAAATTGGAGACGACGATGAACGACTACTATTCCCCCTTTGCTCCACTTGTGCAAAGGAAAATCCAAATGGGGATGTAAATGAGAACTACAGCTGCAAACACTCAGACCAACAACGTGGATGGGTGTCAACATGTACATCAATTGAGTTGAATGAAGCATTGAAGGAAGGATATGTGGTCACCAAAGTTTTTCGCGTCTTGGAATTTAAAAAATACGACGACAACCTCTTTCGTCCTTATATTCGTGAATTTATGGCACAAAAAATTCACGCAAGTGGCTTTGACAACGAAATCAAAGGAGACAGACAGAAGGAAGAAAATTTCATCAAGGAGTGTAACGAAATGTTTGGAATCATCATCGACAGAGAGAAAATGAAGGTTAATAAAGGTAAAAGAACACAAGCCAAATTATGCTTAAACAACTTATGGGGTCGCTTCTCTCTCCGAAACTTTGGATTATCTCAATGTGTAGTTACGGATGACCCTGCTGTCTACACCAAATATTCAAACGACCCTTCAATCATTATCAACTTTTTTGAAGAATTAACAGATGATCTACTTTTAATTTCCTACACCAAAAAGAAGGAATTTGTAGAAGAACATGACTCATCAAATGTCATCATCTCCTTATGGACTACCTCAGCAGCGAGGATCCACTTGCTTCACGCCATGCAACAGGTTGTGAGGACTCCTGAATGCACTTTGCTTTACACCGACACTGACTCTTTAATTTTCTCTCACCCTATTGACAACTGCCCTCTTCAACTTGGTCCTCACCTGGGTCAGTTCACAGATGAGTACCCGGACTTCAAAATTTTGGAATTTTGCTCTGGTGGCGCAAAACAATATGGACTGAAAATGGAAAAGAAGGATGAGCCTGGCGGTGAACCTGTCTACGTGCTCAAAGTGCGTGGGATGACTTTGAACTGGGATGCAATCAACAATCAAGGGATGCGGTATGATACGTTTAAAGAAAAAGTTTTCAACTTTGCTGAAGGTGATTATGATCCAATTATTGTTTCATATCCCAACTTTTTACGTCCATCTGTTAAAGATGGATCTGTCACCACACTTCCTCTTAAGAAAATTTATAAGCCTTATGTCGGAAAGGGAGTAGTCCGCCCTTCCGATTTTTCTGTATTGGACTTTGGATTCATTAATTTGTAATTTTTCCCAAATATATTTGGAGATGGAAAGTAGCCAGGGGTATGGGCACCCAAACTCTATACCAACCATCGTAATGTTGCGAGTCACACCACTCATTGACTTGTCGATGATTATCAAGTGTGTTATTCACATATTGTGTGGTAATCCTCGCATTGAAAATCGGTGGTAGCGGACTTGAGTAAATTCTCAAGTCCCTGGTTGAGTTTGGTGATGTCTGTCGAATGGCGAAGCCATTCTCCTTCCCTTTTTCTATATTTTTCTATTTTTATTCATTTATTTAATCACTATTGTATTTAATTTTTATTCGTGATAAAAATTTTTTAATATGTTTTTTATTATTTAAAAAATACATAATTAAGAAAAATTAGGATAAAATAAATTACAGAATTAACAAAAACAGGCATACAATTTTAGGGGTAAAATTACATAATTAAGGAAAATTGTTTACATTTTTTAAAAATAAATTTACATAATTAAGTGTAAAGTGCAGAATTAAGGAAAAGAACATTACAATTTTAGGGGTAAAATTGCGGAATTAAGGAAAAATATTACATTTTTATCATTTTTCAATGTATATAGGGGTGCATATACATATAGGGTGCATATATATCTTTACCATTTGTCCTGACTTAGGTCTCCTCTATAAATTTCATCAGCATCCTCCTTGTTCATAAAAATTGTTGGACTTCCAAGTGAAGAAATTGAGTCCGTTTTTGATTTGTCCTCTTGAAGTGTCAAACGCCCCATCTCTACTGCTAAACGATTTATCTTATCCATGTGTTCTTCATCAACGAATTCCAATACTTCCAAGGGATAAAAACGATCTTTCTCAAACGGTCTGCGATCAATAACACAATTTAAATAAGGATTGCGCAGACGGATGCGATGTCTTGTGTAAAAGTGTTGTGATATGGTAACATTATATGGTCGTCTAAGTCGTCCATAGGCGAAAATTCTATTCGCGCCTTTTCTTGTCAAACCTCCGAATAGAAAGGTTTTTCTTTGATAATTTTTGTTTAAATATGTTGTTTGGACTTTACGATCCAAAAATTGTTTCATAACTCGTATACGAGTTTGAGGATTTACTAGGTGTCCGCTTAGACTAAGGACTGAACATTCAAGGAAGCGAGCGATTTCATCGATTACACGGACCATTTTTGAAGAATGAGTTTAAAAATTGAAGAATGAAAATTTTTTCAAAGTATTTTGCTTATATATGCCTCGGATCTCTTGATTTCATAATCTTTTATTTGACCTAGTTACATTTTTAATTTGTTACTTACTCCCCGCTGTGACGTGTGACCTATTTAATCGACTTGGATCTTAAACACAATTCATTATTAAAATGAGCGAGGAAAGTTACGAAATCATAAGATTTGTCAACGGAGTTTGCGAATATCGCGAATTTAAAATAAGAACCTATGTGCATTCAATTAATGATGCTCTAAAAAATCACATTCAACTTGACATGGGGGCAAGACTAAGTATTCTCATCAATTACTTTAGAGCAGGGAAATGGTGCTCTGACTGTCTCGGTTTTGTTTTAAAACAGATGCAGGAAGAAATATTGGTTCCCAAAGATGAAAAATCCTTTGTATATGGTTTCTATCTATGTCCAGAATGTGCAGAAATTACAAAGATCTATCTCGATAATTTATAAGTTTTTTCACAATTTTTTGTACAAATAAATCTGGATCATTTTGTTTATCTAATAAAGTTAAATATTCATCAAAGTTGTATCCCTTTGAAAGATAATAGGTAAATGAAATACAGTGGTGGGCACAATAATTTGAATAAGGGGACTGATATGTTCTAGCATTTCTAGTTACAATAGAAAAATTTTTTAGAAACGAATCTATAATACAAATACTTGTTGGAAGGTTTAGACTATCAAAATAGATTGCTTTTCTTTTATCTTGTACGTAAATGGAAATCCAATGTGAACCTTCAAATCCCTGAGGGTCCAAATTTACAATCAATACTTTTCCTTTCATCGGTTCAGGAAGAGCATTACATGGAAAACATCCTTGAAAGATTGGATTTGTGTAAGGGCTGGAGTTCAATATCGTTGCTATCTGACTGTTGTACATTATTTTTAGGAATATTAGTTTTTAACCAAAAGACTGAGCGCAGTTGATATATAACTAGGCTGACAAAAAGCATAATATATAGTCCAATCATACTCCAACAAAAAACATGACTGTAAAAACTATTGTCTTGTGGTCCTTCTTTGCATAATTCAATTGCTGGGAGAGTTAGTATTGGTGGACTTGGTGCTGAAATTCGTTCAATAGTGTAATTCTTTTCAGGGTATCCTGCTCTTCTCAAATATTTTGAATACTCTGGAATTTCTTCCAATTTATCCATAGATTCTTTAGTTAGCTCAACACTCGGAGCAAACAAACGGATTAAAAATAAAGATAGTAAAAATGTTTTCATTTTTTCAAATGGTTGTATCACTTGCTATGGTTCGGTTTTTATCCAGCATTATAAGGGAGTCTGCCTCACCCATCACAATGAGCATAGCTCCGCCGTCTGGAACAGGTTGACTAAATTTAATATGGACAGCTGTCGTCCCATTTTTGATCAAGTCAAATGTTCCACTATTATCGTCACCACTATTTGTTAGGTTAAATACATATATGCAATGTGTCTTTCCATATTGTTGGTAAGTGATCCCATTATTTTCATTGGAATTTATTAAACCTGTACCTTCATTCATATCGTGGAAGGCTCTAACATATCTCCCATTTTTATAATCAAAGTCATAGGGTGCCTGGGGATAAGGTCTTCCATTAGCAATAATACTAATTTCTCTAACATTAAAATGTTGAAAGTTGAAGGGACTTCGTCCAATATTTCCAACATAATCCGAATTTGCAACTAGTCCTAGTGTGAGTCTTCTGGGAATTTGATCCATGAATAGGTTTGCATTAAATTCATAACGACCTTGACTTATGAAAAGGGGTTTCATCATTGTTTTCCTAATAGCATAACGAGCAGGTTTAGTTTCTAATTTTCTTGCAATATCTAAAGAGAGTCCGTCCATCAGATCAACCTTTTTCACATAGAGCTTACAGCTTACAACTTCAAATTGGTAGGTTGATGTTTGTGCTACACCGTTAGCTGGTGGGGCAATCAATACAAATTTTGCCTCATTTGGGAGTATCTCAACGTCAATTTCACAATGATTGATTAAATATAGAGGCTGATTGAATATGTCCGCGTCAAGTTTTGAAATAAATTGCGCAGTCTTGCTAAGAGAAAATAGACTTTTGCTTGTAGTGAATGCAGTGCCTCCTTCAAGATTTGTGTCTGAATCATAATAATAGCCAGCAGCATTCAAGTGGGAATTTTTTGCTCCTAGAGAATAAGACAGTTCATGTGAAAAGTATGTTTTGTATGCATAGAGGGAATTTGAATTAAAAATTTCTCTACCGTTTACATTAATTCTCATGTTATTAATAAAGGTTTGTCCAATGAGTTGTATTGGTGCAACATTATCTGTTGCTGCAAGGTTTGTAAATTTTCCATCGTTATCTACTTTTTTAATGCGAAACTCTGTGAATAGATAGACTTTTGATAAATCTATGTAATTTTGACTACTATGAATTTTAAAGTGGTATGGTGTATCTGATAGAGGATTGCTGGGTAGGATTTCAAAGTTTTTGGACGATGAAATACTTACATTTGTAGGTGGAACTTGAAAAAAATCTAGTGCATTTGTGATAGAATTTATACTATCACGATCAATTTTATGAAAGGACATTTTAATAAAATCCAAAGGTATCAGATCTTAATCTTTTTCTTTTTAGAAATTTTTGATGACTGGGAACTGATTTCCTTTTTATACCCCTTCCAGCTCCAAATTGTTTGGGTAAGCCTCCTTTCTCTAATACTGTGTCAATTCCCTTCTTTCCTTCCGAGACTAGTGCTTCTTTTACTGGTTCTCCTTGAATAACCCTACTTAGTGCTCGTTGGCCTGTATTTAGTGCTTCCTCTGATACAGTAGTGCCTACTTTTTTCATGATTGGAAGGAAGTATCTCCAAATACCTCTCATGATATCTCCAACTCCGGCTCCTTTTTGTCCATATCCTCTCTGAAAAGGAGCTGCTCCTTTGAAATATTCATCTGAAATTCCATCTCCCCTCATTGGGAGAAAATCTTCATAACTTACAGTGTTAGTATCAAATAAAATGTGAACCATTTTTTCGTTAGAATGAAATTTAGAAATTTATGACCTTCTTAAATATGAGGACCAGTAGCACCGTCCCAAATTCAAATGGTACTAGTCGTCCGTTATCCATTGTTCTAAGTTCAATCTCAATCTCATTAACTTCCTTTGGTAGGACCCTTGAGTAAATGGGCGAATCGTAAATTTTTTCATAATATTCTCCAGGCGTTGCTCCTGCAACAGAAACAACTCTCAATAGCGAGCTGAGTGAGTTACCGATAATCATATTTTCGGTAAGTCCTTTAGAGTATACTGCAAAACTTGAAAATCCTCCGCGCAAATCACAGCCATATTTGGCTACTTCATTATTTCGAACCATATCTGGGTTTTCAAAACCTAACACATAACCAAGTTGATTTGAAAAGGAAAGATATTTTATCTTTGGATGATTGAACTTGACTTTAAATCTTTCAAAGTCAACGTGATAAAATATTTCAATTGCATCAATAATTTGTTTTTGGACTGATGAATCTATTTTGTCCTTTTTTAATCTACCATACTGACGCAAAAGTGCTGGCATATTTGGTAAATAGTTTATTCTGGCTTGTCTTGTGGGTGTTTTTCCAAGAATTTTTGTTAGTATTTGTTCCATTTCTTCAGTCCACAGAGGATCTTTAAAGATAGCTTCAGGTTCTGGAAGTTTTGGAAGTGTAGGTGAACTAGGTGAGGATTGCTCTTCGGTTGAAGAAGGAGATAGAGATCTTAATTCTTCTTCATTTTGTGTTAAAGGCAGAGGAGTGGGCAGAGAAGGTTGTGTTGGAGGTTGAGGAGTAGTAAGCTGAGGGGAGGGTTTTGGTCTTTTAGGAGCAGATTCTGGTGGTTGAGGTAGAGTTTGTGGAGTGGGTTTCGGAGGTTGAGGTGTTGTGGGTTTTGGAGGCTGTTGTAGAGTTTGTGGAGTGGGTTTTGGAGGTTGAGGTGTTGTAGGTTTTGGAGGTTGTGGTGTTGCAGGTTTCGGAGGTTGAGTTGTAGTTTGAGGAGTCGGTTTTGGAGGTTGTGGAAGTTGTGGTGAGGGTTGTTGCGGAAGTTGTGGTGTAGGTTTAGGGGGTTGGGGAGTCGGTTTTGGAGGTTGTGGAAGTTGTGGTGAGGGAAGTGGCGGAAGTTGTGGTGTAGGTTTTGGAGGTTGAGGAGACGGTTTTGGAGGTTGTGGAAGTTGTGGTGAGGGTTGTGGCAGAAGTTGTGGTGTAGGTTTTGGAGGTTGAGGAGTCGGTTTTGGAGGTTGTGGAAGTTGTGGTGAGGGTTGTGGCGGAATTTGTGTTGTGGGTTTTGGAGGTTGAGGAGTCGGTTTTGGAGGTTGTGCAAGTTGTGGTGAGGGTTGTGGCGGAAGTTGTGGTGTAGGTTTTGGGGGTTGGGGAGTCGGCTTTGGAAGTTGCGGAAGTTGTGGTGAGGTTTCTGGCGTAAGTTGTGGTGTAGGTTTTGGAGGTTGAGGAGTCGGTTTTGGAGGTTGTGGAAGTTGTGGAGTGGGTTTCGGAGGGTGAGGTGAAGTTTCTGGCGTAGGTTTTGGAGATTGTGGAGTCGGTTTTGGAAGTTGTGGTGTAGGTTTTGGAGGTTGAGGAGTCGGTTGTGGAGGGTGTGGTGATGGAGTTGGAGATTTTGTTTTGGGTGGTGGAGGTTGAGGAGTAGGTATTGGAGGTTGCGGAGGGGGTTGGATTGGCTGTTTAACTGGTTTTTCTTGTTCCTTTTCTGGTGATTTGCTTCGAGGTTTGAATTCCTCTTCATCAGATGATAGAAGTGGAAGATTTTTAAGCTCCTCTTCGTCGGATGATAGAACAGGGAGTGATTTAAGTTCGCCTTCAGGCGATAGACGTGGGAGTGATTTAAGTTCACCTTCAGGGGATAACTTACGTTTAGGCCTGCGGACTTTGGGTTTATCAACCAATGTTTCTGGTAAATCCAAAGGCGAAGATTCTAATGTATTACTTTGGTGTTGTAAAGTAGCTATTATGAATTGAAGCAACTCTTCTGTTGAAGTATGTGAACCTCTAGGGATGGGGACACGGATAACACTAGCTTGCCCATCATTTCTAGTAAAATGGATGTCAATCCATTGTTCATCTAAGGTACCGATAGTTGAAGGCCACGAATAAGGGTAGCTAATGCTATGAAGACCACAAACCCAGTCACCAGAAAAATATAAGGGTTTTGGTAAATGGACTCTAAATTTATTTGGTTTGTTATCGGGGTAATCGGGGACATTGCTAGGAAGATAGACAAAAAATGTGTTTGACATTTTTTTTTACTTGTGAATAGTGAAAAAATCTGTTCTTTTATACTAACTGCGTCTCATGAATCCACTCTCTTTCAGGATATCCCATAAACTTTACTAAAAGATCATATGTTCCATCTGGTCTCTTTTTCTTTTTCACAACTTTTTCAATTCTATATTCAGTATCAGCATCCTTACGAACGCGAGCTAATTCCTCTTTATAGAATGATCCTTTAAACTTTTCACCCTTTTCATCTTGGACTTTATAGCGAATGGGATCAACATTATCTTTAACTCTTTCAATTTGCAATATTTCATCTCCCCAGTTTGGGATGTATCCCTTTTCGAATACTCCTTTCCCTACGCTCATTCTGATATAATCTCCTTTCTTTAACTTGGGTCTCATCCTTTTATTTGAAAATACGTCACCATATATCATTTCCCATACATCTTGAGCATTATCAAAATTTACGTCTATAGGTCGCATACCGTGTACTCTGCTTTTTGCTTTATTTATTCCCTCGATAATTTTGGGAAGGACTTGAACCCAATCCAGAGTTTTATTTTGTGCAAAGTACCGATAAATTCTCTGTTTAATATTACGTATAGCTCTCTCAGCCAAGGAGGCCTTAACGGTAGAGTGAGTTGCCTCTAATTTTTGAATCTCTTCCTTTTGAAAAAATTCTTTCATTAGAGAATTTTTAAATTCTGTTCCTTTATCCGAAAATATACGATGAGGTTTCATAGGCATTTGTTTTAATAATAAATCAAATGCTGTTACCATATTCTCTCCGTTTTTTGATTTTACTGGGACTCCAAATATTCTTTTGGAAAGGACATCGATTCCTAATAGTAAATATCTATTTCCTTGATTATGTCTTGATAATTTCTGAAAATCTGCAAGATCAACTTGAACATCTGTCATAAAACCTGCAGGTATAGTTTTTGTCCTTTTAAAATGAATGCGCCTCGGGCGCATCAACGTGTATGTCCTATGACCCTCCAAATAATCCTGTATAACTCTTTTAGGTATATGTTTGAGGACTTTTCTAGCCTCTCTCCAGAGTCTATCAACACCTGAAAATGCTGCGGGCGATTCAGGATTGTTGTAAAGATTTTGCAAAAGTTTTGTATAGTCTGCCATTTTTATCTCCATAATGCTGGGCTGAACCTATTTATAGGTCTTCTCCTACTTGAGGGTTTCCTCTGGGCCCATTTAACTGTGTTAAATTTTTTGAAAGAGTATGTTCTTTTCTTGAACTTGGGAGTTTTTATTTCGGGTTTCTCATCTTTTGTGGTAATATTTTCTGTTGGTAATGAAGAGGGTAGATCTTCTTTTAACGTTGACGTCGTATCAGATCGACTTTGAAAAGATGGGGATGAGAAATCTTGAGTCCACATATCATCTTCTTCAGTTAAGCTTGTTGTAGGACGAGCCATGATACCCTTTGAACTAGCCACCATCTCTACTTTGACTGGTCTATTCTGTTGTTCATTTCTTAGCTGTAGATATCGTCTAAACTCCTGATTGTAATTAATATTTTTAGCACTAGGTGTCTCTTTTTTACGTTTGGTTTTTTCTAAACCACGACGAATAAAATCCAAATTTGGTTCACCCTTGTCATGAGTTGTAAGTCCTTTGTAAATTTCCTCTGGGACCAGAATAAATTTATTTGCCATTATTAAAATTGAGTTTAGTTGAAATTTGGTTCTTTTATAGACGCGCTCCCTATCATCCTTGCGACCTCAATAAGTATAGGTGTAAGGAGGGCAGCAAACACTCCGACACCTCCACCTTTTTGATTTATAACATGTCTTGCTCCTCTTTCACTTCTGACTCTGCTCATACAACGAACAAATTCTGAATAGGGTAATAGACGTCTCTTTTGTTGGGTAGTTAGATGGAACCTGGACTTTACAATATTAAGGCAAATTTCTGCTATTGCTAAGAGTTGATTTGTATTTGAATGTCTCAATAGTCTTTTACGTTTTCTTTCAGATTTTGTCTTGGATAATAATTTTAAAAAATCAATGTTTTTATGAACTAGTTGACTAACCATTTTTTGGAATAAAGATAAGTTTCTCTTCGTCGTCCTTAAATATGTTTGTTCTGAGACGGAGAGTTGGATCTGATGAAGCGTGCATGTCTATGACCAAATATCCATATGGATGTCTGGTTGCTTCCCGATAAGCATCGAGGAAATAATTCAACTGTCTTGGAAATAATTGTACACCTATATTTCTGACAGAAAGCATAGAGTTGGGGGATCTCATTATAATAATGTATTGAGAGTTTTGGCGTGCAACCTTAATTTTGGGGTCAAATAAATTTTGTGTAACAAAAATTATGGAGAAATTTTGGTGATGGGATTTTTTGGTAAATAATTCTGATAAATATTTTTCGTTAATAGATAGGAGTAAATCGTCTAGAATCAGTAGTAGAGGCTTTGGATATTTTTTAATCACCTCCTCTGATGGGACGCCTGCAAATACATCGACTCCTGATTTTTGTAAAAGGGGTACAATATTGTTCATTTCACCAAAACAATAGAGTATTGATTTTGGACTGGGATCGATAAGTCCACTAGAGCCTGCAATGAATTTTAAAAGAAATGTACTTTTGCCGCTGGAACTAGGACCAGCTAAAATCATTCCAAAAGGAAGTTTAAATTTTAATTCTTTATTAGAAAATAAATCCATAATGAATACAAAAAATACATAGAAAAATCATTTAAATATCTTTTCAATCCGTTGGTATTCCCGTTACTGAAGCATTTAAGCTTTGGAAGAATTCGTCTATATCCTCTTTTGATGGAAGTGAATCTGTGTGTTGAGATGTCTCCTCTGGTATTGTGTTGGGGATTTGGGTTGGTTGTGGTGTAGCAGGCTCGGCCTTAGGGCAGGGAACCACAGTTTGTGTAGTAGCATTGTAGGGTACATTAAAGACTCGTCCTTTGTTTTTTACTTTGAAAAAACAATGTCCAGGTAAATCGAAGAATGTATCAAATGGAGCAAAACGACTTCCTTCAAATCGCGAGCAATAAATCACCACTCCTTCTTTGACTATTATAAAATCTAGTTCAACCTCTGTACTTTTACATGAACGACACTTCCCAACTTGGTCATAGGGAATAAAACGAGGTGTATTAAATCGGGGACTGGAAATGGTGATCCCGCTAGAGGTGACGTTAAATTCAACCTCAGGAAAAATTTTTGGGAAATTTTTGTAGTTCATATTAAATTAATTACATTTAGGAATTATTATCTCCTTTTATACTACTCCAGGACTATTAGACGGGAAGTAAAACAAAGGGTTTTCAATTTTTTAACATTCCTTTTTTTCTCTAACTTAATACTATTTCCATTTTAATTTCCATTCCTATTTTTCCCTATTTTTTTAAACATTTTTCCTATTTTTTAAGGTCAATATTTTCCATTAAAATAGAACATTTTTTCTAGGTCAGAGATTACCTAGAAATTTTTTTAACAAAAGAAAATTTTGAAAAATTCAAAGGAAAAAGGAAAAGTTTTAAGCTGACCCATAAAACTTTAAAAATTCAAAAGAATTAAAACAAATTTTTAAGTAAAAGGAAAATTTTTACAAAAGAAAAATTTTTCTAGGTTAGGATACCCTAGAAATACAAAAGAAAGTTTTTAAAAAAAATACAAAAGAAAAAGTGAAAAGTTTTAAGATGACCTAAAAATTCAAAAGAAAATTAAAAAATGAACGCAGCACGCTGCGCGAACAAAAATACAAAAGAAAATTAAAGGAAATTTTTTTAAGGATTAAGGAAAAGGAAAAGTGGAAATAAATATTTTTAATTTTTGGATGAGAGGGATCTAAACCTTTTGGTTTGGAGGGTTTGGTACCGGATATTCCTAATTAGTGGACTATTAACCATAAATTAATTAAAGGGTTAATTAGAGGGCAATTTCACGGAACCTTTTTTCTTTATCAGTTATCATTGATAAGACCCTTTGGGGTGGTATTGGATGTCCCTAAACCTTTAGGTTAGGGTTAATTAATTGGTTAATTACATGGAATTAATTAGGGATTAATTACCTTTTCTTATATCAGTTATCTTTGATAAGACCCCTTGGGATGGTATGAGATGTCCCTAAACCTTTAGGATGGTCCTAATTAGTGATGTAATTACATGGAATTAATTAGGGATTAGTTTTGCGGACCCCTCTGCCCCTGACGACGGGGGCGGGGGACTAACTACTATCGGTCTCGTCCACTTAACAATTATAGTCCACTTAATCCGCCATTAGTTGCAAAATATAAGAATATCCGCCTTACATTCGATATCCCTCCAAATCCAACGATATCCTCTTGAACACCCAAATCCTTCCAAATAACCCAGTATTGTATTTAAGCCTTTTAATTTTATTAAATTACTGGGACTCAGTTGAGATAGATAAAAGGTCAACTCAGTCGTGCGAACTCAATCGTGAGGGTTAGTGAAATACTCGAAATTTGTAAGGCAAATAAAGAAGGATTCACTCTTTTCAGCGCCGAAGGCTTATTTTCTTATTATTTATTTCATATCGATTGATTTTCAATACAAATCTTATCAGTCATAAAATATATAAAGTGAAATAATAGAAACGGCAAGTTATAATTTCTTATTTTCTTATTATTTATTTCATATCGATTGATTTTCAATACAAATCTTATCAGTCATAAAATATATAAAGTGAAATAATAGAAACGGCAAGTTATAATTTCTTATTTTCTTATTATTTATTTCATATCGATTGATTTTCAATACAAATCTTATCAGTCATAAAATATATAAAGTGAAATAATAGAAACGGCAAGTTATAATTTCTTATTTTCTTATTATTTATTTCATATCGATTGATTTTCAATACAAATCTTATCAGTCATAAAATATATAAAGTGAAATAATAGAAACGGCAAGTTATAATTTCTTATTTTCTTATTATTTATTTCATATCGATTGATTTTCAATACAAATCTTATCAGTCATAAAATATATAAAGTGAAATAATAGAAACGGCAAGTTATAATTTCTTATTTTCTTATTATTTATTTCATATCGATTAATTTTCAATACAAATCTTATCAGTCATAAAATATATAAAGTGAAATAATAGAAACGGCAAGTTATAATTTCTTATTTTCTTATTATTTATTTCATATCGATTGATTTTCAATACAAATCTTATCTTTCATAAAATATATAAAGTTAAATAATAGAAAAGGCAAGTTATAATTTCTTATTTTCTTATTATTTATTTCATATCGATTGATTTTCAATACAAATCTTATCAGTCATAAAATATATAAAGTGAAATAATAGAAACGGCAAGTTATAATTTCTTATTTTCTTATTATTTATTTCATATCGATTGATTTTCAATACAAATCTTATCAGTCATAAAATATATAAAGTGAAATAATAGAAACGGCAAGTTATAATTTCTTATTTTCTTATTATTTATTTCATATCGATTGATTTTCAATACAAATCTTATCAGTCATAAAATATATAAAGTGAAATAATAGAAACGGCAAGTTATAATTTCTTATTTTCTTATTATTTATTTCATATCGATTGATTTTCAATACAAATCTTATCAGTCATAAAATATATAAAGTGAAATAATAGAAACGGCAAGTTATAATTTCTTATTTTCTTATTATTTATTTCATATCGATTGATTTTCAATACAAATCTTATCAGTCATAAAATATATAAAGTGAAATAATAGAAACGGCAAGTTATAATTTCTTATTTTCTTATTATTTATTTCATATCGATTGATTTTCAATACAAATCTTATCAGTCATAAAATATATAAAGTGAAATAATAGAAACGGCAAGTTATAATTTCTTATTTTCTTATTATTTATTTCATATCGATTGATTTTCAATACAAATCTTATCTTTCATAAAATATATAAAGTTAAATAATAGAAAAGGCAAGTTATAATTTCTTATTTTCTTATTATTTATTTCATATCGATTGATTTTCAATACAAATCTTATCAGTCATAAAATATATAAAGTGAAATAATAGAAACGGCAAGTTATAATTTCTTATTTTCTTATTATTTATTTCATATCGATTGATTTTCAATACAAATCTTATCAGTCATAAAATATATAAAGTGAAATAATAGAAACGGCAAGTTATAATTTCTTATTTTCTTATTATTTATTTCATATCGATTGATTTTCAATACAAATCTTATCAGTCATAAAATATATAAAGTGAAATAATAGAAACGGCAAGTTATAATTTCTTATTTTCTTATTATTTATTTCATATCGATTGATTTTCAATACAAATCTTATCAGTCATAAAATATATAAAGTGAAATAATAGAAACGGCAAGTTATAATTTCTTATTTTCTTATTATTTATTTCATATCGATTGATTTTCAATACAAATCTTATCAGTCATAAAATATATAAAGTGAAATAATAGAAACGGCAAGTTATAATTTCTTATTTTCTTATTATTTATTTCATATCGATTGATTTTCAATACAAATCTTATCAGTCATAAAATATATAAAGTGAAATAATAGAAACGGCAAGTTATAATTTCTTATTTTCTTATTATTTATTTCATATCGATTGATTTTCAATACAAATCTTATCAGTCATAAAATATATAAAGTGAAATAATAGAAACGGCAAGTTATAATTTCTTATTTTCTTATTATTTATTTCATATCGATTGATTTTCAATACAAATCTTATCAGTCATAAAATATATAAAGTGAAATAATAGAAACGGCAAGTTATAATTTCTTATTTTCTTATTATTTATTTCATATCGATTGATTTTCAATACAAATCTTATCAGTCATAAAACATATAAAGTGAAATAATAGAAACGGCAAGTTATAATTTCTTATTTTCTTATTATTTATTTCATATCGATTGATTTTCAATACAAATCTTATCAGTCATAAAATATATAAAGTGAAATAATAGAAACGGCAAGTTATAATTTCTTATTTTCTTATTATTTATTTCATATCGATTGATTTTCAATACAAATCTTATCTTTCATAAAATATATAAAGTTAAATAATAGAAACGGCAAGTTATAGTTTCTTATTTTCTTATTATTTATTTCATATCGATTGATTTTCAATACAAATCTTATCTTTCATAAAATATATAAAGTTAAATAATAGAAAAGGCAAGTTATAATTTCTTATTTTTTTATTATTTATTTCATATCGATTGATTTTCAATACAAATCTTATCAGTCATAAAATATATAAAGTGAAATAATAGAAACGGCAAGTTATAATTTCTTATTTTCTTATTATTTATTTCATATCGATTGATTTTCAATACAAATCTTATCTTTCATAAAATATATAAAGTTAAATAATAGAAACGGCAAGTTATAGTTTCTTATTTTCTTATTATTTATTTCATATCGATTGATTTTCAATACAAATCTTATCTTTCATAAAATATATAAAGTTAAATAATAGAAAAGGCAAGTTATAATTTCTTATTTTCTTATTATTTATTTCATATCGATTGATTTTCAATACAAATCTTATCTTTCATAAAATATATAAAGTTAAATAATAAAAAAGGCAAGTTATAGTTTCTTATTTTCTTATTATTTATTTCATATCGATTGATTTTCAATACAAATCTTATCTTTCATAAAATATAAAAGTTAAATAATAGAAAAGGCAAGTTATAGTTTCTTATTTTCTTATTATTTATTTCATATCGATTGATTTTCAATACAAATCTTATCTTTCATAAAATATATAAAGTTAAATAATAGAAACGGCAAGTTATAGTTTCTTATTTTCTTATTATTTATTTCATATCGATTGATTTTCAATACAAATCTTATCTTTCATAAAATATATAAAGTTAAATAATAGAAAAGGCAAGTTATAGTTTCTATTTTCTTATTATTTATTTCATATCGATTGATTTTCAATACAAATCTTATATTTCATAAAATATATAAAGTTAAATAATAGAAACGGCAAGTTATAGTTTCTTATTTTCTTATTATTTATTTCATATCGATTGATTTTCAATACAAATCTTATCAGTCATAAAATATATAAAGTGAAATAATAGAAACGGCAAGTTATAATTTCTTATTTTCTTATTATTTATTTCATATCGATTGATTTTCAATACAAATCTTATCAGTCATAAAATATATAAAGTGAAATAATAGAAACGGCAAGTTATAATTTCTTA